ATTTCAGGTATGTGTTGCGTAGAAATAAAAATAATGTACAGTTATTGATTCGGGTTTATGATATTTTGTATTTACCTGAAAAGAAGTCACGGCCACTAAAACACATTTTCATTTCAATATCGACACCAATCCATCACACTATTATACTCTGTGAGATCGCGCTTATTTATACTTTTTATATAGTATAGGTAATTCCAACGGCAACTTCCAACGGGTATGGATATCTTGCAACACTTTAAATATTGTCAATCAAATTTGCCAAATAGAAGTACAAAAAAATTGGATATTCTATATTGTCCTCCAAAGTTAAACTTAAAGGTTGATAGATGTCAACTAGTTGAATGTGAATGTATCATAGTGAAAATAAAACATCCATGGATTAAATAAGGGTTTCCAGTTATAAGCGACAAAAAATTCGAAAAAGTTTAAAAGTTCTTAAGCAAAAATATTCTAATTTAATAAAGAATGTCAAAATAAACTCAAAACAAGATATTAAAAATCAAATAGGATTTAAAAATTTTGTTAAACGTATTTTTTGGATAGGAATTCCAGAACTAAAAGATTTTATGACAAGCTAAGATTCAATGAATCTAAAATCGAAGATTTACAATTCTTAGAAGAACAAGAAAATCCAAGATTATAACATATGGGTACTCTAGACACTAAATATACTAAAAAGTAATTTGATTATATTTTGGTTGCGAGAATTTGCATAGTGTAAGTTTTATTTTTTTTAATGTTTAGGCAGTTTTGCGTCAGATCTTAATTAAATGATGCTGTTAAAGTAGATGAACTATTGAGTTACTTTACTAAATGGAATGAAGCAAGCATATAAAATATTGATTTAATTAACTTTATTTTGTTTTTGAACTTATCCCTACAGGCATTTGTTTCTAAAAGTTACGTTCTAAATGTCTTTTAAACGTTCTTTACGTAAGAACGTTCTTTACGTAAGACGTTTAAAAGACATATAAAATACATTTAGAACGTAACTTTTAAAAACAAATTCCCACTGGGATACTATGTTGACTCTCATCCACACATTTAGTTTTTAAATAATATACTCTTTATAGTATTGTAAACTTATTAAATATGCTCTAAGTTTGTGTTTTTGCTACTCTATCAACTTAAAACTAATAAATTTATTTTTATATAAAGTAAAATCATTAAATATAAAGAAGTGCTAAAATGCAATGAAAAATGGATCCCCAAGTAAAATCTTAAAATCTTAAGAAAACATTAGCAGTAATGATGAACTAAGTTCAGATAACTTTTCTGATTCTGACTTCGAGCTAGGCGAATGGATAAAGAGAAAAAATAAACCAAGCAGTAAAAAAATTCGTGACAACATTCCAAAACATATTTATTCTGGAAATGTTGCTTTAATGGCAACTGTTAAAAATTGTTAACCGCCGTTTTATTCTCTGCAGAACCTATGGTTGTGCAGAAAATTACAACGGCGGTTGCTCAAGCTGCAGGAGTAGACATGAACGCCATCAAATCAAATCTCTCAACTGCAGCTAGATGAATGAAAAGATATAAATATTGCTAAAGAAGATATTAAAACAAAAGTACGTTTATCTACATTCCCATGTATAATTCATTTTGATAGAAAAACTTTATTTGAGACAATTAAATGAAAGAAACTAAAATGCGAGCTGTACTAGTAAATATCAATTGCGAATCACACTTGTTGGATGTGCCTTCTTTACCATCCTCTTCAAGTGACGATCAATATAAAGGAATAATGCAGTTGCTATATGAATATGTTATTAAATAAAATATTGGTGGATTGTGCTTTGACACAACAGCAACAAATACTGGCATTACAAAAGGGACTGTTAATAGAATTACCTATGATTTAGGTAAATAGATTCTCCGGCTTGCTTGCAGGCACCATGTTACAGAGCTTAGAATAAGTCATTTTCAGAAACATGTTACTTATGAAGAAAAAATAGGACCAGAAAATCTTTTTTTTAAAAGATTAAGAAATAAGTTTGACAATCCAAAGTTTCATTACAATCCTAAAAACATATTAGGACTTGATTGGTCATTAAAGGTACTGTAGTTGAAAAAGTAGCAACAGATGCACTCGAATATTGCAAAAAATACATTAAAAAGAAAAATATTGCCAGGGAAGACTGAAAAGAACTAGCAGAGCTTGTAATTATTTATTTATCGAAATCAGGAATTGTTAAAATAAAAAACCCAGGTGCAGTTCATCATGGTTTCTTAGCTCAGCTCTTTATTATACAAAGTTACATCTGCTATCTAAACAACTGAAGTTACATCAGCTATCTAAACAACTGAAGTTACATCAGCTATCTAAACAACTGAAGTTACATCAGCTATCTAAACAACTGAAGTTACATCAGCTATCTAAACAACTAGATTTCTTGATAAAAAAGGAAGACTTAAAAACTCAAGTAAAAGCTCAAGTAGTACAAATTGTGGAGTTTATTTGTTGCTTTAATGCTCCATGGTACTTGCAAAGCCACAATCCTATTAAAGCCCCATACCTTGATGTTACAGCTCTACATCAAATGGCTTTGTATAAAGATATTTGCCAAGTAAAAGAAGCTGTAGATAAAGTCATTGTCTCAACATTAAAACACTCTTGGTACTTAGATTCAACTTTGATACCTTTTTCGCTTTTAGATTATAAAAATCCTGATAAAGATAAAACACTAATCGCCAAATCAAATTTATCTTATAAAATGCCATCTTTAGAGGTATCTGATTAAAAAATAAAAAATAAGTCAAAAGTGGATATCCAAGAAAAATCAACCTAGATAACACAACGGCTAGTAATCCACCAAATTTGGTGGTGTTAGTTAACGAGTTTTTCTACTTTATTTTTGCAGTAAATGGGTTTACAGGACAGAGAATACGGGATTGATTGTCACTTCCACCATCTTTCTGTCACACTCAATCATATTACAACCAGTTTTTAGCCTATGCAAAATTTTGATTATAGTTAATGATCATGCAGAAAGAAACGTAGGCATGATGCAGGAGTTTATCCATAGATACATTAGTGAAGAAGAAAAACAATTGAGACTGGTAACCATAGACAAAGTTCGTTATGTCATGAAAAAACCTGAAAAAAGCTCCAGCAAGATGACAAAAAGGAATATGGAAATAGGTTTAAATAATATTAGCAATTTCAAGAAATTTAAAAGTGATTAGCAAACTTTTTTTTTTCTTTTGTAGGTTTTTTTGTAAGGTAAATAGAAAACCTAGTTTTTATCATAGTTGGCGTAACTAGCTTATAAATTGGTTTTGGCGTAAAAACTTGAATCAGTAAAAAAATCAGGAGGGACCCGGGAGTAGTTAAAGGTGGGGTGAGAGGTAAGGAAAATATATTGCTAATAGAAGTAACAAGCAATTTATCAATATTATCATTTTTATTACACATGGCTGTCGACACCGGATAGGAAGGAGGGAGTTGACCTTTTTTTTTTCGAGGACATTGTTTTTTATATATATATAAAATTAAATTTGGTCCTCCCCTTCACTTTGAAGCTCGGTTCAATGGTCCTGTTATATTCAAAAAAATGTATTTGTATACTCCAAATGCTTTTTTTAGTATCACAAAAAACTCACCAAATTTTGTGAATTTATGGATAATTTAAATAAAAAATGCTCGGTAATAAAACCAAAACAAAAATACGTATGATTTTAAATGCAAAACATCTGTAGTCTAGGCCCTTTTTTTCAACTCAGCCAGCTTGGTTTATATTAGACTCTCCCTAAACGTCACTGAAATCGGCAACTTTTGACAAAAAAACTGACATTTTTTTTACAAAAATGAGCCTTAAGAGAGGATATATATATATATATATATATTATATATATATATATATATATATATATATATATATATATATATATATATATATATATATATATATATATATATATATATATATATATATATATATATATATATATATATATATATATATATATATATATATATATATATATATATATATATATATATATATATATATATATATATATATGTATATATTATTCGACCGTTACGGCACTTTTATTATGTACATGACACCACTGCATGTATCAATAAATACATTATCAAAACTTTACACAATCAATTATTTCTAAGAAAGTTTTATATCCCAACTTGTTTTTTTTTAAGAGTAACATATTAAAAAAAAAAAGTTAAACATTTTATTAAAATAATAAAGTAAACAACTAGCGTTACTTAAAGACATCAAAAAAATTAGTTAACTGTTTATATGAGCAATATAGGAGCAAATATTCATTTAGCAAGAAAAAGCAAGCATTCATTTAGCAAGAAAAAGGCCCATCTGTTGTAAAAAAAAGATGGATAAGAGAGGTCTAACAAATAGTATATGCAAACATTAACGCATAAAACCTCTTTAATCGTCCGTAACTCTGTGTTGATCATTTCACACCCTGATCTACTGTGAACGCCATTTTGTGTTAAGTTATACAGAACTTGAGGCCCGTATTTTGCAGTTATCTTCAAATCAACGAGCAGATTATCAGACTTTAAAATAACAATTATGATAGTAGGACCTTTTTTTTTTTTTAAGAAAAATCTTGATATAGAAGACTTTTTTCACAAATTGATGATTGTGTCCCCCCCCCCCACTTCAAAACCCGTGTCGTCGGCCCTGAGCAATAAAGTGCACATAATCACTTAACCAACAAAAATTTATATATCATAAAATTGTGTAAAATGCTATGGTGCGCGGTGTGTATTTTACAAAATTGTCTACTTGCTGATCCATTTGAAGTTAGATGACTTTTAGTCAAATGTTTTTGCCTGATTATGTTTGATACCAGGCTTAAAAGCGAATCCTAGTAAAGTTTGTTTTTTTAAAACTATATCACTTAAGGGTACATAAATAAATATGTAATAAATATAACAATAACAAAATAACTATATGCATGCATTCATAAACACACCTAAACAAACATTTTAGGGTAATAAAAATAATTCTTACCCAAGGTTCCAAGTAGTTTGGAAAATTAAAAATAAGTGTTGATATAAGTTTGAAAGAAAACTCTTTACGAACCAATGGAACTAAAGGAAGAGCAACTTGACTGAATACTGAAGAATATTATTTTCCAGCTCCTTTTTCAAAAATTTGTTGAAATATTGCGGAAAAAATTCTAAGTAGATGAACTAAAAAAAGTCATCAGATGAGAAACTTCATTAGAATCAAAAAGAACTGTTGAAATCTAAAAAAAAAATAAACGCAGTAAAATGCTTGGCATAATAAATATTACAGCAAAATTTGTGGCATATCAGCTAAATAGCAGTGGGCAATTGTTTAACTGGTTTTTTAGACTTACACTAAACCTTTATAAGGTTTTTTGGACAGACCATATTATGAGCAGCAAACATTAAATAATATGACATTTGTTTACAATTATGTTTAATTAAATTTTCTATGGATCAGCTTGTTTACAAACTTGTTTTAGAATATCTATGGATTTACATTAAAATATAAATTCATATACATATATTAAAAAATTTTAGACTTGGAACTGCTAAAAAAAAATATTGATTTTGCCATTCACAGAGTTTGAAGAGTTAGAGTATTGGATGGTGCACCAAAGAAATATCAAAGTATCTGGATATATGACAGTATCTGGATATATGACAACTTGTCCTGAAGATTTACAGTGTTGAATGTGCTTGTACTATAAGTTTATAGCATTTAAACGCTTGTCGATTTCTGATGATATTGAAAGGGTTTTGTAGAATATCAACTTTTCTTTATATAGGCAAGAAATAAAATTGCCAATTATGCCATTAACTTTAACAGAATAAATAGAGCCATTATTTAACTTTAACGTGTCCACATATACATCCAATCGTTTTTCCCCGGCTACATTAAAAAAATTGCTTGGAAAAAAATGCTGGAATGTTCTCGAAGTGTCGAAAGTTCTTCATAACCTGGTGTTTTCTTTCATAAGCCATACACATATGTTCCTGTAGAGCCCCAAACTGTTCAGCTTGAGTTGGGTAGTGAATAAGGAAGTGTAACTTTGGAATGAATTTATTAGGATACAGAATTTAGATCAGTTACACATGTCAATGTTCAGCAGCATTGCAAATATTGCATTCTTCATGGTTAGAAAAATCTTTTATTTGTTGTCTGGTTGAATTACAACTTCTGTTACAGCGCAATGCCTTTTCAATAAAACCTTCTTTAAAACCTCCAGTTGCATTTGCAGAAAGAAAATCACCTGAGAAGTATACTAGTCTTCTTCTGTAATTTTTTTGGAAACACCTATAACTTTAATAATAATTCTATTTTTCTAGCTGGCTTATTGAAGAAATAAAATCACTAAAAAGAATACCGTAAAAATTTTTATCTATTACTCGTTTAGTGAGAATAAAAAGTAACCTAAAAAAATTAGACGTTTTGCTGCGATACAATGAAGGGATGATTAAAACTTGAAAGTAAAGAACAAACATTATATGTTTTTTATGCGCCTTTCCTAAAGGATTTGTTTTTCCAAGATCGTCACAATATATTCCAATTTTCATATGGTTTGTGTCCTCATTCACTGCTGTAAAGTCATTAATTTCTTGAGATTGTAATAGGAAATACAGTATTTTAATAAAAGGAATTATACAACCTTGCTTTTTCAGACCAATCACTTTTGGAGTTAGAGTCTGTAAGTTATTTTTGTAATACTTTCCCTATAAATATTGTGTTGACAATTTATCACAAGTTGCTTTTAAAGCCTCTGTCTTGACATTTAATACAGAAAGTATCTCCTTTAAATTATTGAAAATCATGTTTAAAACATTTTGAAAACATCTGTGCTTTCCTTGTAAATGCCAAAGCTCCTAAATAATCTTCATTAATTTTTGTGATACCTGGTGTCTTGGGCCCTGTCTGTTCCCTATGTCTTAATTTGCTCCCTGTCTTTGGCCTATCTTTAACATGCACAATCATTGGCACTACAGAAATATCAAAAGTTTCAGATCTCAAAGCTACTCTGGAAGGTAGTGAAAAATCAATTGCAATACACTGTTACAAAAAGTGGGGACCCCATGCCAAAATATCCATATAGTTGCAGATCAAAATCTTTATATTTTTTGAAAGATCAATCAATATAGAATGATTTATAATACTTTTTTTTGATATTATTAAAGCCACATGGGTTTCTTGAGCATTAAAAACAGGTATATAAAAATTTGCTTAAATTTATTAAATTGATAATTACAGGTACTTAATAATTTTTTACACTTCTGATCATTTCATTGGATTCGCCACCCCTGAAAATAGCCAAGTACAAATTTTTAAGTAAAAAGATAAATATTTTCAAAGTTATGTAACTTGAAACCTCTAAATACAAAAAAAAACAAAAACATATAATCTAGACTACACCAAAGAAACATGAATGTTGCAATTCTGAGGGGACAAGAGGAGCCTGGCCAACATCTATTAAAAGTGTAATGGTTATATTTCAGGATCTTCTTGATGTCAGAGGCTAAAATTTTCAAGGAATTTTCATTTTACTAAGTACTCTCAACTGTGTAAAAATTAGCAAAATCTGAGATATAGGGTGACATTTTTAAAAATTTTGGGTTACTTGGTACCTGGGGTAACTTTGATAATTTTTAGGAATTTTTTTTTCTGTATATTACATCTTTTTAGGAATTACTTTTTCATATATTATCTTTGTAATAAATTTGCAATATTATTTTAATATCTTTTCTATTTTCAGTGGTTTAAAATAAATAAACACAAATCAAGAGTTTACTAAGATTGAAAAATCGAAAAAAAACATTTGAAAGGTAAAAAACATTTTTGAGTTTTTAAAAATTTGTAACTGAAATGGAACTACAAGATGACAATGAAGGCTCTATGAAATTAGTTGATTGAACAACTGACATTCTATTTGAACAAAACCAATGGGTAGTTGCAGCCTACAACCTTAACTTAGCCTAATCCTAAAGAACTCTGCTATCAATTATATTAGTCAAGTCGTTGAAGTGTTTGAGAGAATAAAACTGTTCCAAAAAATTTTTTTGAAAAAACAACTGCCGATTAAATTCTTCAAATTTGCACAAAACAAAAATGATATGGATGAAGCTTTTTTATTTTCTGCTGTGGTTCAAAGAATTACAAATGAACCAAGAGATCTATATCATTTCCCATACCTGTCTCACTAAGTCATCTACTAAAATCAAGAACTTTTGAAAATGTTTGACAAATTTTCAACAAACTTTTGAATTTTAAAAAACTATCAATGAAATCATGTGGTGGGATTAATTTGATATTTGATTGAAATAACATTTACTCTTAAAGTAGCCCCAATATGCGGGGTTACATTGATAACTGTTTGGGCTTTTAAAAGCCCAAACAGTTATCAAACTGCTCTATTTGCTCCAAATATAACTTGACATGCATGTTTTTTTTTACTGTAAAGCTTTTTTAATTTTGTATGATTGGTACTTGCGCAGGCGATATTACAGTATGTTAGGTATAGAAAGTTAACTTATTAGAATTTAGCTCCAACTTATTTTCTTTGATCGTACCACAGAATAGACATAATCATTTAAATAAAATGAAAATTGGCATTGTGGAGATGATTGAGCTGTGTCGGCTTTATTTTAAATCTGATAAAAACCTAACTTGTTGAGAGTTGGATATATCGAAAAATTGTGGAGCTTGGATTGTCAGCTCTTAATTTTTTTCATTAAGAAAAGTAAAGCTATTAGCAGTTACATTACAGCTATTCCACTTGACTTTTTCAATCATGGGCAAATTTAAGGTTTTGCAAACTAAAATAGAAAACAATATAAATATAACTTGGTATCATCTTTACGTTACTACTAATTTAAATCATTATACTAAAAAAGGAGTGACTAATTTTTAATTTTATTTTAACAGTTTGAGGAATTCTTCAAATACCTTAAAACTTTCTAGAAATTTATAATTTGAAATTTTTAGATTTTGATTTGAAATGATGCTACGACATTTGACTTGGTTTTCTAATAATATGCACGTTATTTACTACGACACTTGACTTGGTTTTTTAATAACATGCGCGTTATTTACTACGACACTTGACTTGGGTTTTAAATAACATGCGCGTTATTTACTACGACACTTGACTTGGTTTTTTAATAACATGCGCGTTATTTACGACACCTGACTCGTTTTTCTAATAACATGCACGCTATTTACGACACTTGACTTGGTTTTCTAATAAAATGCACGTTATTTACGAAACTTGGTTTTCTAATAACATGCACGTTATTTACGACACTTGACTTGGTTTTCTAATAACATGCACGTTATTTAGTTATAATAGAGCATTTACTATGGTATGATAATTTTCAATTTAAAATAATTTATGATAGAATGAGTTAAAATGATTAAATTTTAATAAATTTTCTGCAACATCTCTAAAATAAAATATACCTACCAGCTGCACAAAATCCAAAAAAAAAACTATTTCAGAGTTTTCTTTAAAATTAACTTTAATTAATTTCATTTTTCTTACACTTTTACCAGCTCATGTTACCGCTTTACAAACTAATGTGATTTAAAACTTCTTATTTATTGTAATGGTTGACTGATATATTTGCTATCACGTGGTTGACTGATATATTTGCTATTACGTGTGACATCAAATATAACAGCAAGTATAAATGCAAAACAATCAGTAAAAATAACAGCAAATATCTTTATATATAACACTATAACATAACTCCATAATAAAACAGCAAATATAACACCATAATAACGCCAAAATTGTATTATCTCAAACATAAAAACGATGAACTGTAAAATCACTTTAATTTAAAGTGGTTATATAATTTAATAATAGAAAAATTTTTTAGGTCCTTAAAAGTATTGTCTTTTTACATGCATAAAAAAGCTATTTTTAATTGATTTATTATTTAAGACTCCCGCGTATTTTTCTTGTTACTTTTTTAATATTGGTATGGTATGAAATTACCAACAGGGTAAAAAATGTTACTCAAAAAATTTTTGTGTTGTTTTTTCTTTTTTGCCTAGTTTGCATTGGCGTTTTTATTTTTATATAAGTAATGTGTTTAAATGCAAGATATAGAATCAGGGCCGACGACGCCTAGGGAAGAGGGGGGAGGCACGTTCTCTCCTCCCCCCTTTCCCACTTTTTTTCTAACCGACCTTTCTTTTTTTTTTAGAAAATTCAGGATATAGAGGAAACCTGTTGGAAATTGACTATTGCCCCCCCCCCCTCCTTCGAAACCCGTGTCGTCGACCATGAGAATATATTGTTATACGGAAAATATTAGAGAAAAATATTGTAGATATTTTATCTACAATAATTTTCTCTAAATTTTATCTCTAAGTAATGTTTAAAATGAGATAAATTATATACGGTGATTTAACATTTAATCGAGTAATGGAGGTTTTCGAATTAAGGAGATTCGAATTAGAGAGATTGTACAGTATATATTTTTTGGAGATATATAAAAATTTGCCTAACAATGTCTATCAATACATAATAAACAAAAATATTTCATTTTTAAGTATTTTAAAGAGTTCTAACAATTATTTTATATTGAGAAGCGTTAAATTCTTAAGTTTAGAAAACAGCAATGATCATCATTAAATTATCAGAAACTGTATTAGTTAATTATATTTGAGTAAACCTGTTTTATCTGTAACATTTAATGCAATCTATTTTTTATTTTTATAGAAAATAAATATGGTGGTTAAAAAAGATTTAGTTTGCCAGTTGCAATTTAGCGATTCAGCAAAATACCCCAACAATTTGTTTTTAATTGCTAGTCTTGAAATTAATGTTATTTTAACATTAATATCCAACATCGCATTGATTTTTGGGCTATACAACACAACAAGAAACAAGAAGTATACTCGGAATGAAAAACTCGTCATGTTACTATCCGTTATTGATATAATAAATACTTTGGTAGTTTCAACATCACAAATTGTATTGCTTAAACGTGTTGAGTTCTTTGGTTGTTTAGAGATCTCGATAATAATCTTTTTTCGCGTTTGGTTTCTAGGTGTAACCTGTTCTATTTTTCTTATGATATGTTGGGAAAGATTTATTACAGTTCTGTTCAACAACAAAATTTGTGGAGTTTTCATAAAAGATTCATATTCAATTGGTTATTTTGTACTTGTTGTTTTTGCTTCATTAGTTGCTGGCGTATGTAATGGATTTATTTACGCCACTACAAACTTATATCTACATTTTTTACTATATATAGGAACTGGTAGTTTAGCGCTTATTATGTTGATAGTAATTGTTGTTGCAAACGTTTTAATACTACATGGAGTTAAAAAAAACCTAAGAAAGCGTTCGCTGGAGTTTCAGAGAAACGCTGCAGTTGAAAACCACGTTACAAAAACTGTAGTAATAACCTCCCTCGCCCATGTGCTGTTTTTTTGTCCTTTCATAGCGGTGCAATTCTATATGTCTGTTATTTTTTCCAAAAATGAAACTTCTCTTATTTCTCCAGCTCATAAGATATTAATGTGGACTGTTGTACTTAGGAAATCAAGCTCATGGTTTAACGCAGTTATTTATACTTTTAGAAACAGAAAAGTTGCAAAGTTATACGTTTCCAAAATAAATTCAATACTCAGAATTACGAGTGTTAGAAATAGTTCAACAGCAACAGTAAAAACTACTAAAAAAAGTTTTATACTAAAATCCAAGCAAATGAGAAGATAGCTGCAGTTAAATTTTTTGTTTGTATCTAATACTATTTGAAAAGTTATAGACTATGAAATATAAAATAATTAATGTCAAGTGTATTTAAAAAAACTGGTTGTAAATAAAAATTCAAACTTTAATTTTTTTTTTTTTTTTTTAATTTTTTTATTAACTGATGCGATTTTAGTTGATGAATAACTTATTTCTTTAAGTTTAAAAGCAATTTTAAGAAGTGAGAAATATAAACTCACGCAACCAAAAAAACCAAACTCACTTAAACAAAACTTGTCACCAAGCTTTTACCAAACCTTAACCAAAAAGTCTTAACAAACTTTATCAAAACATTCTACTAAACTTTATTTAATCCATAATAAAATATTTACTTAATATACAGAAAAGTTTATATAGAAT